CAAAACGGGCAGCAGCATCGCGTGTGGCCCACTGGGAGCGAACAGTGCTGTCAGCATCGGCAGCAGGGGCAGTGGAGGCGCCAGACGTGAGATCGAACAGGGAGAGACCGTCTTTCCTATCGCACTGTAGGAAAGCAGCAGCTCATCGACCCAGACCCTCAAAGTCAACAGCCCGACCCTCAGCATCAAAGACGAGGACGCTAGGGGTAGCCATGACAGCAGTGGCAGCAGTAGCAGCAGTGGCAGCAGGAGCAGCAGTGGCAGCAGTAGCCGCGCAGAGCGGCCGATGCTCTTACCAGGGCAGAGGGCCGCAAGTGGTGGGGCAGGGCCGAGGCGCAACCGGCAGGGACGGGCCGAGGCGCGCAGGTAGGGCCGAGGCGCGCCGGTAGGGGGCGGGCCGAGACGCGCCGGCAGGGACGGGCCCGAGGCGCGCCGGCGCAGGGTCGAGGCGCACCGGCGGCTGCAGTCAGCGGCGGCGGCGGCTGCGGCCCCGGCTGAGGTGGTGGCGGCCGCTGCTGGTGGCGGCTGCGGTGGTTGCGGCGGCTGCTGCCCTGGGAGTGACGGCGGCGGCCGCTGCTGTCGGCGGCTCCGGCGGTGGCGGCTTCCGCTGCAGGTGGCGGCGGTGCTGCTGCAGGGGCGGCGACGGTGGGCCGCGAAGGGCGGCTACGGGGCCGCGAAGGGCGGCGACGGGGCCGTGACAGGGCCGTGAGGGCCGCGAAGGGCGGCGACGGGGACGAGACGGGGCCGCGAGAGCCGCGAAGGGCGGCGACGGGGCCGTGAAGGGCGGCGACAGGGCCGCGGAGGGCACGACGGGCCGTAGAGGGGCCGCGAGGGGCCGCGAGGGGCGGCGACGGGACCGTGAAGGGCGGCGACGGGCCACGAAGGGGCCGCGAGGGGCCGCGAAGGGCGGTGCAAGGGGCCGTAAGGGCCGCGAAGGGCGGCGCGAGGGGCCGTAAGGGGCCGCGAGGTGCTGTAAGGGGCCGCGAAGGGCCGTGAGAGGGGCCGCTAAGGGCGGCGCTAAGGGGGCCGCGAGGGGCCGTGAAAGGGGCCGCGAGGGGCCTTAAGAGGGCGCGACGGGCCGCTAAGGGCTAGGGACGAGACGGGAGGGAGGGCACACGGGGCGCGACTCGGGCAGGAGCGAAGCGCGCTCCGGGCAGGAAAAAAAAAAATGATCGTGGTGGGCCCTAGGAAGCGTTCCCACTAGGAACCTGCTCTATACCATGTGAAGAAACGAGGAATGAATGACTAAGGGAAAAGTTGGGTACAAGTACAAACCCTAGAAATGTGTACCCCATATGTCTACCCCACTATAGCCTACATCAGCTAAGTCATATATATCTGACATGATGACCTTGGCCTTCACACCCCATGCACGCTTCGTGCGGGCTGCACAGTCCTGGAAAGGGCGGGATCTTCCAGACACCCCTACTGCATTCTGGCACAGATTATGACCATTTTCAATTGCTTGTTTGTAAATCCATACTTCTCTAGGATGTGGGGGGATCTTATAATGTTAGGGGCCATTTAGGGGGTATAACTCAGATGTACTCGAACAGAGTACCCGGGTCCGTATTATAGACCCGGGGATCTACAACTGGGGGGGGGGTCCTATATACGGGGGATTACGGTTGTAAGAATGCAGGTTCAATCAAATCCCGGCGGCGGTCGCAATGTTTTGCAGCTTCGCAAGGAAAATCATCGTTACAGATGATTCGGTTTTAGTGTAATGTACTGCACACCCTGATACCGGCAGGGTAACCGAAATTGTTATCAGTGTAAATCAATACTTAGCCTTTCTGCTGCAGGGTAAAAAATTCGATACCTTGTTTTTGCAAGGGTGACTGGGAAAGAGCGGGCGCCCATCAGGGTAAAAAGGGTAATTTACTATGATATTTTCAGCGTCACTGACGCTGTATTGTTGAGATGTGCGACTCCGTCGCACAATCTGGCCACCGAACGCCCTACAAAACTGACACATTCGATACAGCGTCCTGCAAATCGGCCACCAAATGTGTCAGATTTTATATCACGGCCAAAGGATGGTCGACTACAAAATCGACCACGCAGTCGGAATTAGTGAAAGCTTTATTAGACCATATGGTCGACTATAAACCAGCGAAATCAGCTTTTAGCGGATCTGACACGCCCTCATTGCATATGAAGCACTTCTGGCAAGGCAGCAGTTGTGGCTGACTGCCCAGCGATTCCCGCATTCAACCATGGCTTCCCTCCTCCCGTTCCAAGGCAGTCCAGCGTAATCCCTCTGTTCGTCGTAATCGCATCGCATCTCGTCATGGAGCAGATTTCCGCCGTCGCCAGCACGTCCGCCGAGGCGATGTATCGCGATGTCGTGCATCGCCGCTGGGCGCGCGCCTTTCTCTTCCACCTGCTCTCCATCGGCCCCTTCCTCTTCCTCTGGGCCGCGCCGCTCGTCGTCCGCGCGGGCCTCCTCCCATCGCTCCTCTCCTTCTTCTCGCTGCGCCTCTACCTCGGTTTTGCGATTTTTGATCTTTCGCAACTTCTTTTCGTTCTAGCTCGCCACGCCATCGTCGTCGCCGATGCCCCTCCCCTCCCCTCCACTGCCTCCCTCCTCGCTTCCGCCGCGAATCTCGCCGGATTTGCCGGCACATCAGATCCACGCCCGTTCGTGCACCAAGACCAACAGATTCGCGCAGTGCACGGCGGGTTTCGCGGGCCCGCCAGCCAATGGGAGGCGGAAGCGGCTAGGGCGACGCTGGCGGGCCGCGCCAAGTTCGCTTCACTCTGCGCCGCGGCGGGCTCCGCAGGAGCGATTGCGCTCTCTCTCTTCCGCGCGCAGCTTCTGGAAGGCGCGGCGGAGATCGAATCCAACGGCGCGTGGTGGCCGAACGGTTGGGCCGTGGCGGGCGAGGCGGGGTTCGGCGGCGCGGTGGGGGTGCTGTTCGCGGCGTACCACGTGGTGCGGCGCGACTACCTCCTCGCGTTCCCCGTGCTGCAGGTGCGTTCCCCGAGCCTGGGCTCTCTTCCCCACAAATGCGCCTACCTTCCCGTGCCGCAGCTGCCGTGGTGCCGTGCACGGCTGCAAGGCAAGGGCTGCAAGGCGAGGGCAATTGAGAGTTGGGAGTTTGACGCGGCAGCGCTGCACTCCATGACTCACCTCTCTATGCCTCTCTAAACCCACAACCCTATTGCCGCCCTCTCTATGCCATCCCCCATACCCCTTACAGCGCGCCCCGTTCTACCGATTCAAGACGACCCTCCCGCGCTGCGCCACGTCAGCAGCCACGTTCGGGTGCATCACCGCCCTCCTCTACTCCCTACTGCTCCGCCCGCTCCTCCTGCCGCTCCTCGCCACCGCCATCACCACCGCCATCGGCATCCCCCTCCCCTTCCTCGCCGCCCCACCCCTGTCCATCCGCGCGCTGCTGCTCTGTCTGCTGGCCCGCCTGCACGCCGTGGCGTTCCTGGCCTTCTCCTGGGAGGCGGCAGCGGCCGCCACGGACATCTTCCTCACCCATCGCCATCTCTTCCTCCCGCGCCCTCCTCCCCCTCCTCCCCCCTCGCCCCCCTCCTCCTCGCCCTCTCCCCCTCCCCGTCCCCCGCCCCTCCTCCGTCCCCGCCCCCCCTGCCCCTCCTCGCCCTGCCTGCGCCCCCCGCCCTGCCCCGCCTCGTGCTCCACTGGGCGCTGCTCGACCTCTCGCTGCTCGCCGAATCAGAGGCTGACACGTGGCGCCGTGCAGCGCTGTTTGAGTCGCAGGAGGCGTACGGCACGGTGGTGGCGGCGTGCATCCGCCCAGTCGACGCCATGACGGCCCGAGTCGCTGCCGCCGCTGGTTACCCCACCGTTACCACTGCACTGCAGCAGCAGCAGCAGCAGCAGTACTCGTTACAGTCACCCACGGCTGCAGTCACAGCAGCCGGGTTTGTCTCTGCTGAAGGGATGAGATGGCGGCAGGGGAAGGGTGGAGGGAAGGGGGTGGAGGGGCAGGCGCTGCAAGGGGGAGGGGTCGGGGGGAGCGGCGCATATGGGGTGTTCGGGGGGGCGGCGTGGAATGGAGGGGCGGGATCAGATGGTGGCGAGGCAGGGGGGGCAGGGGGGAGTGGAATGGGCGTGAGGGGTCTGCAGGGGAGGAGGAGAACGCCCAGCGCTGCTGAGGTGTTCTTTGACTGGCAGGTGAGAGGGCGGCAGGTGAGAGGGCGGCAGGTGAGAGGGCGGCAGGTGAGAGGGCGGCAGGTGAGAGGGCGGCAGGTGAGAGGGCGGCAGGTGAGAGGGCGGCAGGTGAGAGGGCGGCAGGTGAGAAGGCGGCAGGTGAGAGGGCGGCAGATGAGAAGGCGGCAGGTGAGAGGGCGGCAGGTGAGAGGGTGACAGGTGGGGTTTGTGGCCGAGGTGGGCCACATGCCACGCCATGCATGTCATGCCATGCTTGACATCACACCTCGAGCTGCACCACATGCATGGCTTTCTGCAGGTGCCGCAAAATGGCTCCAAATTTCTCCAACAGCCATCGCTCCCCCTTTTCCTCTCCCCTGTGCTCCACCCATCCACCCACAACTCTTCAAACCTAATGCCACCTCCTCCACACCCCTCCATCTCTCCCCACCACACCAGCTGTGCGCCATGAGCATGCGAGCGCTGGCAGCGCTGACAGCAGCGTCGCGCGCGGAGGACCGCATGGGCGTGGCGCAGATGGCGGGCGCCAACGCCGCGGCGCTCTCCTCGCTGCTCTCCGCGCTGCTCGCCCTCGACCACCTCCTCCTCTCCCCCTCCCACCGCCACCCCGCCGCCCCAGCCACCTTCTCTGGCTTCGGGGAAGCTTCCTCGCAAGCGACTCCTCCAGGTGCCTCTCAGCCTGCCTTCTCCCACCAGACCCCGGCTCTAGCTTCGGGAAGTGGGGGATTATTTGGCACACCGACCCTCGGTCTTAGGTATGGAGGTACTGAAGCAGGTGGTTCGGCCGTACCAGGCGTGGGAGCTGGGGGCGGGGCGGTGGGGAGAGCGGTGTACGGAGAGGGGGTGGTGGGGCCAGTGTGGGGCGAGGCATGGGCCATGGCGGATGTGGTGCGCACCGCTCTGTACCGCATTGCAGAGACGTTTGGGGAGGAGATGGTGGAGAAGGCGGGTGGAGCGATGGGAGGGAGGGGGGGAAGAGGAGGCAGTGGGGCAGGGCCGTGGAGGGTGGACGAGGCATGGTTGCCTGCTGACATGCGCCCGCTGTTTGGGTCGAGAGAAGCCCATGCAGCCAAGGTGCTGTCGCTGCTACCACACACTGAGTAGCATGGTGCACAGCAGTGGTTTTGTCTCGGTTTTGTAGTCATAAGGAACTGCTTACACGCTAATTCGCGTGCAGGAGGAGCAGCAGAGTGTATGTTAATTGCAGAAACGTTGGTTTGATGTGATGGAAGCAGCACAGCACATTGTACAGGTGTGTGCTTGGCCCACATGTGGCAGCAGCTGACATGTGAGAAGAATCAGCACACATTAACGCTGGTATTCACAATATGTACAAGCATGGCAAGCATGTTCCAACACATATGCAGTCCAACTTTGAGAGGTCATATCCACATGTGTACCAAGGGCACTGTCTGCCGCGTGCAGTGACCTGTTCCTCACTCCACCACACTGCTATGCGCCCGCCACATGCGCCTTGGAAGGGGCCTCCTCAACCCCATGCTCCACCTCCGTCGCCCCTCCTCCCACATCCTTCCCCCCACCCCTACCTTCAGCCTCACCCTTACCTTCCCCCTTCGCCTCCCCCTTGGCTTCGCCCTCCCCCTCGCCCCCCTGGGGCCCTTTCCAGCCGCTCTCCTGCAGCCACTGGCGCCACGTCTTGAGGTGCGGGTTGCAGCGCCGCGCATTGCTGATGTCATGGCAGCCGAAGTACGTGTGCTGGGAGAACCAGCGGAACATCTGCGCGGGAGGCACGGGACGGGGGGACAATGGATGAGAGGGGGAGTGGAGAAGGCAGGAGAGTGTGGAACGGTGCTGGAGACATGACATGACATGTGATGCAGCACGGTGAGGACCAACGAGCATCAAGTGAATCCACTGGACGGTGAGTTCCCTCGTCGCCGCCCCAGCGTGCCCCCTGAAGCCAGAGTGCACGCATCCCTCCCCCCCTCACCTGCGTCCCCCCTCACCTGCGTCCCCCCTCACCTGCGTCCCCCCTCACCTGCGTCCCCCCTCACCTGCGTCCCCCCTCACCTGCGTCCCCCCTCACCTGCGTCCCCCCTCACCTGCGTCCCCCCTCACCTGCGTCCCCCCTCACCTGCGTCCCCCCTCACCTGCGTCCCCCCTCACCTGCGTCCCCCCTCACCTGCGTCCCCCCTCACCTGCGTCCCCCCTCACCTGCGTCCCCCCTCACCTGCGTCCCCCCTCACCTGCGTCCCCCCTCACCTGCGTCCCCCCTCACCTGCGTCCCCCCTCACCTGCGTCCCCCCTCACCTGCGTCCACTCCTCCGAGGCGGCCTTGTTGGTGGTGTGCAGGCGAGCGGGGCGGCCCGTGGCGCGGTGGAAGTCGGCGACGTACTGGTGCAGGGGGCGTGGTAGCCCGCCAGACACATGTACTCGCCCTGCCAGGCTCATGGCGGGGCACGGCAGCGGGAGAGACAGAGGCAGAGAGAGAGAGGGAGAGGGTGGGGGAGAAGGAGAGAGAGACGGAGAGAGATAGGACTAAGCAGAGAAGGAACACGGGGGCAACAGATGGGCAAGCAGGAGCAGTTGACTTGGTTTTTGCCATGATGCCAGGGCGAGAAGAAAGCACTCACGTGCCACTCATCGGGATGGTCAAGGGCGTTGAGCACGGCGGCACCGGTGTCGTCCACATCGAAGGCCGTGAGCATGTCGTCCGCCGCCATGGGCAGCTCAAACACCACCGTGCCGTCACCCTCCTCCCTGCCCCGCCAGGCACACCACACATGCGAGCAGTACACAAGACACAGTGGAATGGCAATGCTCTTGCATGAGCGTGTTGAAACGGATGACAAGCAGCGAGGGACAAGGCGCATGGGCGCACCTGGTGAGGAAGGGCGAGAGGACCCACCTGGCGAGGTGGAAGTGGGCGAAGTTCACCTGGCGAGGTGGAAGTGGGCGAAGTTCACCTGGCGAGGTGGAAGTGGGCGAAGTTCTGGTAGTAGAAGGCACACATGACGAACGTGTGGTGCTTGAAGCCGCTCGCCCTCACCACCTCCTCCACCTGCCAGGCCGGGATGACCAAGAGAGACGGCACACAGCGACGGCGCAGCAGTGGGCGCAAGAGTTGGAAAAGCGAGGGAAACCTGGGGTGTGGCACCCGGCGTGGGGCAGCAGGCGCATAAACGCAAGGCCTGGAGATAAGGGGAAGCATGCGGTAAGGCAGCAGCAACGAGTGGGCGGCAGCAACGAGTGGGCGGCAGCAACGAGTGGGCGGCAGCAACAAGTGGGCGGCAGCTGCAGAGCCGGGAAAGAAGGGGGCGAGAGGCATGCACCTGGGCCTTGTTGGTGAAGTGCGGCACGTTGAGCTGCCCCTTGGAGAGGCGGTGCACGTGGGGCAGTGTGCTCCACACCACGTGCTGCACGCCCGCCCCCCTCGCCTCCTCCACCACTCCCTTGCCCACCTCCACCTCCCTCGCACCCAGCGAGTAGTAGTCCGTCACCTGGGCGGCAAGGACAAGGGGGAGGCAGAGAGGCACGATTGTAGGGGCGGGGTGTGGTGAACCAGTTTGGAAAGACGGCGAAAGGGTTAGAGCAAGTGCAGTGCAGACGCGGCTGTGGACCGTAGCACACGGCGGAGCATGGCCATGGGTTGCGCAGAGTAAGACGACTGGAGGAGCAGGTGGTGGGACCGGCACTCGCTGGCAGGCTCACAGCCAGTCGCGACTGCAGCCCAAAACACGGGAAGCCACACCCTGTGAGTCCTGGCCTGCCGGAACAAGCCACGGCGGGGAGTGAGGCTGCTGCGCTGCCGCACGGCACTCACCACGAACGCGCCATACGCGCCGTCCAGCGCCGCCCGCACGGCCTGGCGGTCCGCCTGGTCGGCCTGCGCCACCTCCACCTTGGCGTCCCTCAGGTGGGCGGCGCGCGGCGAGTCGGCGTGGCGCGTGACGGCGCGGATGCGGTAGCGCCCGCTCGCCAGCAGCGCCGCCACCACGCTGCTGCCCTGCGCGCCTGGTGGGCGGGAAAGGGGGAGGTGGTGATGGCAGGGAGGGCGGGAAAGGATTGTGTGCAAGGAGAGGAGTTAGAAAGACGGACACACGTGAGCGTAAGTAGCGCCGAGAGGCGCGGCGAGGCTCACCGGTGGCCCCGAAGACGACGATGAGCGGCTTGTCCGGCGCCGTGTGCGGCTCGCCTGAGCGCACTGTGAGTCGGCGGAGGGACGACGTGAGATGGCCCCACATGCTGCCGTGCTGCTGTCGCGACACTCGATGCGACGATTGCGACTATGCGATGAGCGAAGGGCGGGCTGACGGAGGAACGGATCGAGAGCCCTGCGACGAGACGAGACGGACCGTTGAAGGGCGTGGTGAGTGTGGCGATGACCAAGGAACTCGGTGAGCGCAAGTGAACTGACGCGATAAACAGGGGCCCGCTCGAGAGGCTAAGGACTTGCAGTCGAGTGGGAGGGAGTGCAGCGGAAGGAGTGGGAGGGAGAGCAGCGGAAGGAGTGGGAGGGACTGCCTCGCGGCGCTTCAGTCGAGCGCGTCGTCACCATTGCGGAGGCGTGCAGCAGTCGACAGCGACAACGACAGTCCACACTCGTCGACATTGAGAGGCAGCACTACATCACTCGACATTCCTCGTGAAAGTAACGGTGCAGCGCGCCAGGCACTCGCGGCGATTCGGCAATGTGCATTGCGTGCGCGGCGTGCGGGTGCATGCACGAGAGGGAGCCGCGTCGGGTGTCTCCATGCGAGCAAGCCGCATCGCCGCAAGACCTGCTTGCGTGGCGATTCGCACAATGCGGTGGTGTGACGAACGCCAGCCGCTGTGATGCGCATCTCGCGGGAGAGTGCGCCACGACTAGCATGACGATAGGCCGAATTGGGGAAGTGCTACGGCGAAGGACGTGCATGGGTCTGCCGCACGGCTCACCTCACTTGTCCACCGTTAAAGCCAGCAGCTAAAATTGTGACCCCCCCCTTCTAGTTGGGTCCACTTGAAAACAGAAGTTTTTTTGGAACACTTGGGACAGTTGGACATCTCCATAGTCAATATGAAAAATTTCTGTTACGGGTGCAATGAATCGAAGTAGCGAGAATTGCACTAAGGTGTCAAACGAGTACAAAATGTGAGCGAAGGCATGAGCGAACATTTATACGCGAAACATGCAAACGGTAACGCGGTGCGTGCGAGCTAGCTAGTGCTATGCTGGAAGCGAGGCTCGGGCTAGTCCCGAAGCGTAGGCCGACACGGCCAGGCCAGCATTGCGAGGTTTGGTGAAACAGTGCGCGCGAAGTCGGCAAAGCCCCGTTAGCAGTAACGGGCGAACAACGGCTGCTGCTGTACGCGATGTTGCAGGGCGCGCTAAGGAATGTCGAGAAAATTCCTTACACTACCCCGCCCCTCAAGAAGCCCCTTCCGCTACGCGAGTGCGTGTATATCGCGGAAACCCCGGCTCCTCAGGTACACTTTCTGGGCAGGGTGGTTTTCGATGTTGGCCAGGGGCACCCAGCTATCCTCAGTTGGCGTGCGATCCTTCCAGCGAACGAGGAATTCAATCCTCCTGATTCCCGTGGGGTGTCGAATCCGATGGCTCATGATTTTTTCGGGCTCGATGGTCGGCTCCGATGCAGGGCGAGTCATGGATGGCGGGCGGTGACGAGGCAATTGGCTTGTGGTTGGGATGTATGGGCGAAGCAGGCTGACGTGGAACGAAGGGCTGATGTACCAGTCCGTCGGTAACAGTAGGTGAGCTGTCACTGGGGTAATCATGTGGCTGATTTGGAATGGTCCACAGTAGTGGGGTCGTAATTTCGGTACGACGGGCAGTCTTAAGTTTTGCGTGTCGAGCAGTACGTAATCTCCTGACTGGTACGTGACTGGGCGGCGGTGGCTGTCAGCGTTGCGTTTAGCGATGGCGTTGGATTTTTAATTGCTTCAGCGGCTCTGGTGCGAGCAGCTTGTAGAATTTCGGCGAATTGCTGTTCACGTGGTGTTGGGTTGTCCGGACTCGGCGTCATGGGCACTATAGGGTTTTGCCCGTAGTTCAGGTAGAAGGGGGACTGCTGCGTCGTCGCTGACGTGGCGTTGTTGTACGCGAACTCGATCAGCGGCAGCTGCTGCTCCCAAGTGTGAATTAAGAAAACAGGAATGAGAATGACTAAGGGAAAGTTGGGTACAAATACAAACCCTAGAAAACTGTACCCCATATGTGCACTATAGCCTACAGTAGCTTTGTCATATAAATCTGACACACCCCCATAGGCAAAGTGGGGGAGAACAAGGGGTCACAAGACCAGTCAAGCAAAGCAAAGCAAGCTCAGGGTGGATCACAAAGTCACCACACATTCCGAGCACAAGTTCAAGGCCACAAGGCCAGTTCACATGCAGGATTACATATATATATAAGGCTAGACAAGCAAGAGCACGTGTATATATATATGCAACAGTACAAACAAGGTCAAGGGGTGAGCAAGTGAGGCAAGGTAGGCACAAGGCCCAGCCGAGTACAGAAACGCTGATGATCACAAGGCGCAAGTGCCTTGGTGAAGATATCAGCAGTGTTGGCCTGAGAGGCCACGTACGCAAGTCGCAGCTGACCACGCTGCTGTAGCTCACGAGCAAGGAAGTAGCGGAGAGCAATGTGCTTCGTTCTGTGCTCCAGTCTCTGCTCTCGACACAAGGCCAGCATGGCCTTGTTGTCTACGTACAGCACTGGAGGAGAACGAGGCGGCTCTCCGAGGTCAGTCAGCAGGTAGGTGAGCCAGCGAAGCTCCTGTGCAGCCATGGCCCCAGCGTAGATCTCAGCCTCACAACTGGAGCCGAGAACAGAAGACGAGCGGGTAGCCCGCCACGAAACAGAACCGGAACCAAGGCTGAAGGTGTAACCCTATGACGACCGCTGCGTAGCCTGGTCGTCAGCCCAAGAAGCGTCTGCGTGCCCAGTGAGGACCACTGGACTCTGCCCTCCAAGCACAAGCCCCATGCCCGACGTACTGCACAAGTAGCGCAACACCCTCTTCGCTGCAGCCATGTGCTCCGGTCTGTGTCTCCCAGGAGCAACATAGCGTGCGAGAATGCTAAGAGGGTATGCAAGGTCAGGTCGTGTGCAGGTCATCAGGTACATGAGGCAGCCAACAAGCTCTGGGTACGGGCCACTCGACTCTACGGACTCATCCGAAGGCAGAGCTGAGAGCGAGTGGCGAGTAGGCAGAGGAGTGGCCTGAGGCGAGGAGTACGTGAAGCCGAAGCGCTGAAGGACCTGCTGCACCATGTGTGACTGAGTCAGGGTAATGGTGCGGCGTGCTCTGTCCCGGGTGATCTGCAAGCCAAGGTAGCTGCGCAGTTCACCCAGGTCTGTGCACGTGTGTCTCTTCTGCAGCTCGGACTTCACGTGGGCGAGTCCAGCAGTGTCAGCTGTGGCAAAGACCAAGTCGTCGACGTACACGAGGATGTAGAACGGCGGCAAAGAAGTGTCGGTGCGCAGAAACAGCGACGGGTCGGCAGTAGAGGGAGCAAACCCAAGAGCCGCAAGTGTAGTCCTCAGTGTGTCGTGCCACTCACGCGGTGCCTGGCGGAGACCGTAGACTGGCCGCCGGAGGCTCCACTGGGTGCCAGGAGGAAAAGACCCAGTGAAGCCAGGTGGGCGACGCAGCCAGATCTCCTCGTGCAGGCTACCCTGCAAGAAAGCAGTGCCGAAGTCAAGAGAGTGCAGCTCGTAGTCGCGGTGAGCAGCTACGTGCAGCAGTACCCGAAGACGTGGTCATCTTCGGGTAGGAGAGAAGGTCTGAAAGTAGTCAACTCCCTGCCGCTGACTAAAGCCACGAGCCACGTAACGCGCCTTGAAGACAGGCGGAGAAACCCGGCGGCCCGCTTCACCCTGAAAATCCACATGCCACTGACGATGTTCGCCCCAGGCGGGGGGAACCTCGTCGACGTAGGTGCCTGTGGACCTTCCAGGAAGCCATCTCTGCGTCCATAGCTGCCTGCCACTGAGAGGAGTAGGGACCCTCTATCGCCTCCGCGTAAGAGCGCGGAGTCGGGATGTCAAGTGCATCCGGGTCTCCCTCAGGGGTAAGCAGTACGGACACGAGATGAGGTGAAGCAGCAGCCAAACACTGGAACTCCTCCTGCCTGTCCTCAAGGGACGTCCGTGCCAAGGGCACACTCACCCCCGACGGACGGAGGACATGACAGACTCAGCAACAAGACTAGCAGCTGTTAGTCTAGACGACAGCGAGCAGCAAAGTCGACGAGCTCAGCAGCTAGGGCAGACGCAGCAGTGGACTCAAAGGAAGGGTCAGTGACAACAGTAGCAAGGAGACGTGTGACAGTAGGACTGGCAGCACGAAGAGAGTCCGACTCCGGGTCAGGAAGGAGCAGGAAGAGAGGACTCAGGAGGAGAAGGCAAAGGGCACGCAGAGGAGCAGTGGACGGACGCAGAGGACATCCGGTGCGTGCCAGGGACAGGAGGAGGACGCTGACAGCGAACCACGACCACTAGTGCGAGCAGCACGGACAGGCGACGCAGGGCGGGACGCAGGCTCACGACGCTCAGCAAGACCTCCAGTAGGACCAGTGTAGGGAGAGGGAGCGGGCAGTGGGGAGGCCGGCTGTAACTGGAACTGTGACGGGACAGGCTGTGGACACTCTAAGGGAGGAGGAGGACCAGTAGAAGGCGGGGAGACCAAGAACCTGCTGAAGGAGCGGAACGAAGTACGGCCGAGGCCGCGCGGCGACTCCAGACACAGCAGGGACAGCACCAGTACCCCCAGCGGCAGCACTAGCGCCAGCAGCACCTCCAGCTCCAGGACCTCCAACCGCACCAGTAGTACCCCCAGCAGGACCGCCTTCCAGGACCGACAGCAGTAGCCTCAGCGCCAACACCCTCAGCAGCTCCAGCTCCAGTCGTACCCGCAGGCCCAGCAGCTCCAGTACTCCCAGTACGAGCACCTCCGGGACCCACGGCACCAGCACCCTCAGCAGCCGAAGAACCTCCAGCTCCAGCAGCACGCCTCCAGCGCCGGGGCAAACCACTCACGCAGCTCCTGTGGAGAGAGTGGCTCCCGCCGAGACGAAGCACCCGGAGAACCTCCAGGCTCAGCACCGCCAGACGCCAAACGAGCAGGCCCAGCTCCCTCAGGCTCCGCACCCCCAGGCTCAAGCACCCCCAGGCTCAGCACCCCCAGTAGTAGCACCCCCAGGCTCAGCACCCCCAGGCTCAGCACCCCCAGTAGTA